TATTATTACACACACACACTGTTTTCCCTGTGTGTGTGCATAGAGATAAAAGGAAGTCATTTTCTCTCTTTAAATATATAAAAAACCCTACCCCACTGAACCAAGAATTCTATTTTTGGAATCCACTACAGGCCATCTGCCCGAACCCCATATGTAAATTAATTATTTTAAAGAGCCCCTTTTCACATTCATAATTTTAAACCCATTGAAATCTAGTCAGAGGACATCCGTTCATCTGTTCATTTGTTCCATTGGCTTTATAACTCCATCCTGAGTAACAGAGTGTTATTCAGATCAGACCTTTTAGCAAGCAATGTATGGGATTAACCTTAGAACACACACACAGAGGCCTGTTAATTTTTACTTTGAGACCAGACGACTTGTAATCTCTTTAGCTGCGTCCACAGACCATTGGAGGTTGACTTAGAGCACCTAGGCACAACTGGATTTCCCTTTGTGGACAAGATGTTCCAAGAAGTGAATGATTGCTATAGTACAATATCCAACTGTGTGGGAGGGTTAGCAGCCTTTATATGCTTTTTCCTAATCCAACACAGAGTGATGCCTCAGTGAAAACAGCTTTCCATGTTGGCCACACAGGCCGCTGTGGGAAAACACCCTCTCCACACACACATACACACCAGCTCACAGAGTTCTCGCCTAAAAATCTGGCCCAAAAGATTTTTGCTGCCCTCAAATTTGCAGCCTCAGTTCTGTAGGGAAGAGTAGCAGCAGCTCTCAGAGAATGCACCATACACATGGTCTCATCCAAGGAGCCATGGATACATATTGCTGTTGAGAGCCTGTGTGAAACAGTGGGAAGAGTGTCAGACTAGGTTGTGGGAGACCTAGGTTCGAATCCCCTCTCACGCCGGGTGGCAGGGCCATAGCCAGGATTTTTGACTTAGGGTGCATTTACATAAATCGGGGGGGGGCACTGTCAGGAGCTATGAGAGAGTAAAAGTTTTTAAAAACCGATGGGGGGGGGCTGGAGTAGGGAGCAGATGTGCCCTGTGGCGTGCCTCGCCTGCAGCCAGCCAGCTGCAGGGTAGGGCTTGGCATTGCTGTGGTGCGCACAAAAAATAAAATAAACTGGCTGGATGGGAAGTCAGGAGGCCTGGGTGGTAAGTCAGGGGGCATGGCCCCAAGATGCCTTACTGTAGCTATGGGCCTGCTGGGTGGCCTTGAGCCAGTCACGGTCTCTGGCTTAACCTACCTAACAGAGTTGTTGAGAATAAAAACTGAAGAGAGGAGAATGATGTTGTAAGCCACCTAAGGTCCCCACTGGGGAGGAAAATGGGGCATAAACATCTCTCTAAATCACTATACCTGATCAGGGAGCAACAAAAATAAGTGCCCACATGGGGTACCAAGCGATCCCTATGGGATGAGACCTAAAGTCAAACCGGAGTTACTGTGCTGCAAGGTGCAGGCTTGCCACTCCAGACAACTCTCAGGAACTTCTCCCCATTTTTATCTTCACATCAGCCTCTTGGAGGTAGTTTATGTAACAACTGGCCAAAGGTCACTTTGTAATCTATGTGGCCCTGTAAAGATCTGAGCAGGAAGAGCGATCTCTTAGGATGATCAGTGGTTAACTGCACAGGGAACCACAGGCAGCGCTTAATATCTAAAGCTGGGGGGGGGGTCATTCTGGCTTGGCCCAGAATCCTTCTCTAATCCTAGATGTATGTGGACTAATTGAGATTTCTTAGTCGTGGACGGAAGGCACAGTCTACAGTATTACTACAAGCACTGTGGTATCTGAAGAAGTAAACAGTGACACACAAACGCTCCTAACCCTGCCACAAATTTTGTTAGTCTTTAAGGTGCTACTGGACTCTTTTCTACCATGTCACTGTGTGACACAGTGTTGGACTGGTTGGGCCATTGACCTGATCCAGCATGGCTTCTCTCATATTCTGATGTTCTAAGCTCATATGCTCCATGGCTACCTAAACAGAGAGTGACACAGGTTAAAATGCTAATTTCAGTTACTTCTGTGTCCTTTGCTTCCCTTCAGCCAATGCCATCTGCCCCACTCTCTACCTTGGGCCTTTGAATCTAATGTCTCCAAGGAGCAGTCAAGTCAAATATACGGCATTGAAGGCAGGGTTGGCAACAACCTGGAGAAATGTCCTGCCACTTTAATAGAAGCTTTATGCATGGAAAGGCACAGGTGAAGCTGTTCATGGCATGTGGAGGTAAATAACATCCCCTGGTAGATAACACCCCATAGAGCCTCTATATCCAGGGTCCCCAGTGTAGTGCTCGTGGGCACCATGGCACCCGCCAACATCTTTTCTACTGCCTGCCAAGTGTTTTTAGAAAGTGGGTGGGGCAAGGCAGGGCTTTTGCCCAGCAGGATTTCTCATTAGCCACTGGAGATTTTGATTGACTGTTCAGATTTTTTTTAAAAAAAAAAACTTTGCTTAGGCAGCCGCCATCGCAGAACAAGGATCTCCATGGTGTGACAAAAGGTAAGTTGTGGCAGACCTTTTTGTGGCTGGCTCGACTTCCTACAGCCACCATTTTGTGGCTGCACCCACCACACCATGCCAAAGGTGCCCACAGGCAGTGTTCCCTCTAAGCTGAGTTAGTGTGAGCTAGCTCACAGTTTTTTAGCCTCCGGCTCACAGATTTTTATCTTCGCTCAGGAAGGATGGTTTCAGAGCAAACTAATTTACACAGTAGCCAAATTGCTCACTCACAACTTTAATACCAGTAGCTCACAAAGTAGAATTTT